AATTGTTTTTTAAAAATTAAAGAGTAATTTGTTTGTTTTATAGGATATACTGATCATCCCATATGGAAAATATTTCACTGCCTTTTCCTACTGACCATAATATGTTTTAAGTATTATGACTCTATTTTAGTATATAACATTGTATGCTCTCAGTTTATAGCTTAAGACTGTTTAAATATTAATAGGTTCTATTAACAATAGACTGTGAAATTTGCAGTAGTTAATTTTCTTTATTTTTCTTTTTCTAATATACAGTGACAGTTATGGTATACATAGTTACATAAAACTAAGAAAGGGGAAGCCAAACTATTTGATGAAATTATGTTTTGTTAAAGTTTTATGTCATAATTCTTGTTTTTCAACAAAGATGGCTACATCTATTCTTTACTCTGATTCCTTGACACTGTGTGTCTCAAAAAATTCATTTCCATTGTAACACTTGACTATCTGGGGTTAGCACAGACCCCACAGGTTAAGGGCTCAGTCCCACAAGACTGCCCCCACTCAAGATGTCAATTACAAGTCCTAGGTTGCCACCATTACTTCTGACCAACTGGCTATAAATTCAGATGTCACTACAACTCCCTCATATTTGACAATTCATTAGAAAAACTCTCAGAACTCAGAAAAGTGCTTTAGTTACTCTTACTGGTTTATTATAAGGATAAAACTCAGGAACAAGCAGCCAAATGGAAGCAAGGTATTGGGGCTGGGGCACAGAGCTTCCATGCCTTCCTGTGGGCCTGCCACCTTTCCATTATGCGAATATGCTCACCAACCCAGAAACTCTAGCAGTGTCTTTTTTCAAGATATTGTATAACCCAGTCTCTACCTGCTCCCCTATCCTCAGGGGTGGAGCTGGAAGTTCCCACCTTCTAATCAAGTATTTGGTCTTCGGGTAACCAGCTCCATCCTAAATGTCCCCCTTCCTGAGTGAAAAGACATTTCTATCACTAAGGAAATTGCAAGGGTTTTAGGAGCCCTGTGCCAAGAACTCAGGAAAAAGACCAACTATATATATTGTTTTCATTATGCCACCATAGTAATGAAAAAGGGTGTACTGATAGAATTCTAGATATGAGCAATCAAGGCTTCAGCAGTTGCTTTGCACCTGTGTTAATAATCTGGCCACAGTGTAATTTATTAATATGGTGGCTTCAGCATCACTATCACAATATTTCATCTTATACTAAAAACTAGGGAGTTTTTAGAGCACAAACAGGTTATACTTCAAAAGTTCATTTGTAATATCACAATTTTAAATTCAGAGCCTGTTTTTCTATTGAAACAGTAAGTGGTAAATGTTTTCATACCAATCCATTGGCTTTAACAAGATAGGGAACTAAGTACAGAAAAAATGGGAGTGTTTGAGTATTGATGATGGAAAGGCTTATGATTTCTTTGAAAGATAGAGAAATGAGAGCTTTCTTTGCTGTTTGGTTTAGTGTCACTCTATAATATCAGAGGAAAGATATTGTGTGTTACCAGCTGAATTGTGTTCCCCTCCCCAAAATCATTTGTTGAAGCCTAATGCCTTGTAATTACGTTTTTTGGAGATAGGATCTTTTTAAAGGTTAATTGAGATTAAATAAGGTCATATGGCTGAGCCCAATAGAATTGGTTTCCTTATAAGAGGAAGAGACACCAGGGATGGCACAGGCAGAGAATTGGCCTCGTGAGGACACAGCAAGAAGTCAGCTCTCTGCAAGCTGAAGAGAGAGGCCTCAGGAGAAATCATACCTGCCAAGACCTTGATCTTAGCCTTCCAGCCTCCAGAATGGACAAAATAAATTTCTGTTGCTCAAGCCACTCAGTCTGTGATGTTTCTAATGGCAGTACTAGCAAACTAATAAATCATGTCATTTTAGAAGAGGATTTTTACCAGTGCTCCATGGAACATTAGGAAATGTTGATAGAGATCTCTTGAAAGGGATCCTTGGCTTAATAAATTTGGGAAATAATCTATTATATATTCTCCCCTTAAGGATTTGACAACTCATATTCATAGGTTAAGCATTTTTAGAAGCCTCGAAGTAAAGAAATCTGTTTAATTTTATTTCAAAGTCAACAGTTCCCAGATATATTTGTCTACAGATACATGCCCTTCTTTTTTGTTAAATGAATTGTGTGTTTCTCATCCAGAAGGAAGTGGCTGAGGGAAGAGACGTATTTCTCTTCATCTCCCCTAAAGATATGGCATGGTTTTATATTTCTGTATATGAGGAACACAGATAATGTTTTCTTTGTCAGTCCTGAGCATGAGATATTCACCAATATAGCTTCACTGAAAAACAGTAAGCAAAGAAGGGGAAATGGATGTCTTGTATGTAGAACATAGGAGCTCTGGCATCTTATTTTAACTTTTATTCAGAATATATGATGACTTGAATGTTTTTTATTCAGTATGAAATACTGTATATTTTTATTAATATGGGCCTATTGTTATTAGGATTATATCTCTGATGACTTTATTTCTAGTTTGTCCAAGAGGCTTCCCAGCAGCATAACATAGTAGTTAAAATCAGAGGCCATGGAATCAGACCCCTTGTGTGTTCATCCTTGTGTATGAATCCTAGCACTTTTTCTCCCTTGGGCAGATTATCTCAGCAAATACCAATTTCCTCCTCTGAAAGAAGTGTCGTAATAGGACCTACCTACCTTTTGGGGTCGTGAAGCATTTAATATTGTGCCTGTTACTCAGTATAATTAGTGATTTTTATTTTGAGGAAAGGCATATTATACACATGAATATGTAGTGCTTCATAAGTTGTGATGCTCCATCATTAAAAAGAATAATGGTTGCTGTCTTTATTGTTATTTTAGCTGAGGTGAAATTCACAGAATATCAACCATTTGAAAGTGGTCAGTGGCATTTAGTGCAGTCATAGTTGTGTGTAACCATTACCTCTAGTTACCTCACCCCAACAACTAGCAACTAACTACTAATCTGTTGTTTTTCTGTCTTTATGGATTTATCTATTCTGAATATTTTGTATGGGTGTAAGCATAAAATGTGACCATTTGTATCTGGCTTTTTCCACTTAGCATCACATTTTTGAGGTTTATCTATGTTGCAGTAGTATCAGCACTTTATGTCTTTGTATAACTGAATAATATTCCATTATACTTACATACCTAACATAGTTCATTCATTTGCCTGTTCATGGACATTTGGGTTGTTTCCACTTTTTGGATATTGTGAATAGTGCTGCTATGAACATTTGTTTAGAAGTAATTGTTTAAGTACCTATTTCAACTTTTGTGTAAATAATTAGCAGTGAAATTATTGGGTCATATGATAATTTTATGTTTAACTTTTTGAGGAACCATCAAACCGTTATCCACAGGGGCTGAAATAATTTACATTTCTATAAGCAATATACAGGGGTACCATCTCTATCCTTATCAATATTTGTTATTTTCCTTTTTTGTTTTTGTTATAGATATTGTGGTGGATGTGAACCAGTATTTCATTTTCTTAGGGACTAATGATATTGAGCATTTTTTCATGTGTTTATTGGCTTTTTCTTTATTTTCAGAGAAATGTCTGTTCAAATACTTCACCCAGTTTTAATGGGGCTGTTTGTCTTTTGTTTTTGAGTTTTTGGAGTTGTATTATATTCTGGATAATAGAGTCTTACCATATACTCATATATAGCATGCATATATTTTGTCCCATTCTGTAGGTTGTCTTTACACTTGATAATGTCCCTCAGTGCAGTTTTTAATTTTCATAAAGTCCCATTTATTTATTTATTTTGTTGCTTATGCTTTTAGTGTCATGTTTAGGAACCCAGTGCCAAATTCCAGATCATACAGATTAACTCCTGACTATTCTTCTCAGAGCTTAATGATTGTAGTTCTTATAATTGAGACATTAATCTTTGAGTTAATTTTCATATATGGCATGTATCAGGGGTCCAGTTTCATTCTTTCTCATCCTGTTGCCCCAGCACCATTTGGTGATGAGACTATTCTTTTGTTTTTTTGTTTTTTTGTTTTTTTTTGAATTTACCTCTTGACTAAAAAAGTATTCCAGTGAAGTAATTAAAATAATTGATTCTGGAGACAGAATACTTAAGTTCAAATCTGGCATGGCACTTACTCCCTTGTGACCTTGGGCACGTATTTAAACTTTCTAATACTCAATTTTGTTATATATAAAATAATAGAAAAACCAAACTTCTAGCATTATTGTGAACATTATATATTATAATATACATAAAACACTTAAAAAATTCCTGACAATGGCAGATCAGTTTTGGTAAGAATTACCATCCATATCTGTGATCCTTTGAAGAAATCACTGTTTAGTAACAGCTAACCATGATTATTGTTCATCAGGCCTAGACTAATAGTTTAATTCTTCAAAGGGTAAGACTGATGGATCTAGATGAACTGAGATAAATTAGACATCGAGGGACACTTATAGTATTTCAGGGCATTGTGTATGTTATTTACTCCTTAACAACAATCCTATTTCATAAGAAACCTGAGATTGAGAGTATTAACTAACTTTTCCAACATATGATCAAATGGCAGAAGTGGTATTCACTGGAAGATCTGCTGCTTCACTGTTACAGTGACTTAGTGTAGAAAAAAGATTTCATACACAAATGACCTTATTTCTTTTCCCATATAATACTGGAGTAAGAAAAGATAAAAAGGATGTATGTGTGTATGTGACATATATATGTGCCATATAAAACATTGTATACTAATCAGTTCTCCAAGGGAATGTTTTATTGTGATTTATATGTGCTTTTGGCTAAGCCTCAGACTAGAGCACACTTGCACTGACTTTTGTGTATAATCAATATTTATCATTGAAGTTTGACTATTTTACTGATTTTTAGTATTGTATATTAAATTGAAAAAATTAACATCCAATAAATCAAGGTTTATTTTTGACTGACATCTCTCAGTTCAATATTTTAAATGGTATTAAGGAAAATTTTACAACCCATGTACATTTAGGTTTCTTTTGTGCATTTCCTTAGATGTAATAAAGGAACAGAACCGGGAGTTACGAGGTACACAGAGGGCTATAAGCAGAGATCGAGCAGCTTTAGAGAAACAAGAAAAACAGCTGGTAAGTAGAACATTAGAGTTCAGTTTAACTTTCCAAACAAATTTGGAAATTAGTGTTAGAATAATTAGCTAACCAGGAAGAAGACACATGGCAGGTGGTAAGTAATTTGTTTTACAAAGAAATGGCATTTAACGCCTTTCTGCAGTTTCTGCTTACCTTTGTTTTTGTGTCATTCTGCTGACTTTTATCAGGATTCTGTGTATTCTCTTGATTATAAAATCAAATTATTGTTCAGTTTGTAAAAGTCATGAGTGCCTAGGAAGAAATACTGCTCAAAACAGCCAAATTATTCTCAGTTAATAACAAAGATAATGCAATCCTCGAAAACAAAAGAGAGTTAGTTACAAGAAAATAATTCGTAGGTGTCTTTATGTTTTAATTTTCTATTTTAACCATCATTTTGTCTGTGTTAATGCTCGTACTTTTAAAAATAGACTGTGTGTTTTAAAATATATATTGCTTAAGATACTTTAATAAATAGCATGATTGCAGTATAATTGACATGGAATGTACTGTACATATTTAAAGCCAATAATTTGATACATTTTGACATATGTGTTAACTAGTGAAACCATACTGCAATCAAGGTAATGAACATACCCTTCACCCCTAAGTTTCCTTACTCCCTCTGCAGTCCCTACTGTTCATCCCTCCCTTTCTGCCTCGTCCGCAGTCAGGCAAACACTGATCTGTTAGTGCAGATTAGTTTACATTTTCTAGAATTTTATATAAATGGAATTATACATAATACGAACTCCTTTTTTCATATGGCTTCTTTCACTTATAACTATTTTGAGATTCATCAGTGTTGTTACATTTATCAGGATTAATTCCTTTTTATTGATGAATGTTATTCTATTATGTGGATATTCCACGATTTGTTTATCCATTCACCAGCCAATGGACATTTGGGTTATTTCCGGAGTGTGGCTATTTTGAATAATGTTTCTATAAATATTCAATTGAAGTCTTTGTGTGAACATATGTTTTCATTTTTCTTGGGTATATTCCTAGGAATGGGATTGCTGGGTCATAGAGTAAATGTATACATATTTAATTGTATAAGAATGCTTAACAGCTTTGCACGTGGCTGTAATGTTTTCTGTTCCCATCAGCTATATAAGAAAGTAAAGTTGTTTCATATCCTGGCCAAGAGTTGAGTTAACAGTCTTTTTTTCCTTTTAGCCACTCTAGTGGTGTGTAGTAGGTTGTCATTTTAAATTGCATTTTCCTAATCGCTATTGATGTTCAGCACCTTTTCATGTGCCTGTTTGCCTTTTACATATCTTCTTTGCCAAAGGGTCCCCTGAAAAATTTTACCAATTTTTTTCAAGTTGTTTTCTAATTTAATTGTAAGAATTACTTCTCTACCTGGATACAAATGCTTTATTAAATATATATTTTGCAGATACTCTCCCCAGTTCTTGTCTTTGCCTTATATTTACCTAATGGTATCTTTTGAGGAGCAGAGAGTTTTATTTTTATCAAGTACAATTTATTATTATTCTATGATTAGTACTTTTAGTGCCCTGTTTAAGAAATCTTTGCCTAACCCAACGTCACTAGTATTTTCTCTTATGTTTCCCTCTGGGAGTATTATAGTGTAGTTCTTACATTTAGAACTGTGAACCATATTGAACTAAAGCACTATGTTGTCAGGTGAGAATAGAGGTTCACTTCTGCATATGAAAATTCAGTTCCAACATTTGTTGCTGACATCCTTCCCTTTTCAAATACCTTGTCATCTTTATAGAATATCAGTTATCCAAATGCATGTGGGCTTCATCCTGGGCTCTGTGGTAGTCCATTGATCTATATGACTATTATTAAGCCAGTAATATTGGCTTAATAATATTTTTATTACTACATTTTTTATTACTACAGCTTTATAGTAAGTCTTTTAAAAAAATGTTTTATTTATTTATTTTTAGAAAGGGGAAGGAAGGGAGAAAGAGAGGGAGAGAAATATCAGTGTGTGGTTGCCTCTTGTGCACCCCCAGATGGGGACCTGGCCTGCAACCCAGGCATATGCCCAGACTGGGAATTGAACCAGTGACCCTTTGATTCACAGGCTGGCACACAATCCACTGAGCCACACCAGCCAGGGCCAATATTGAGTCTTATAATCCATGAACATGGTATATCTTTCCATTTATTTAGATTTTTAAATTTTCTCAGGAGTGTTTGTACTTAATAATCATATGGGCTCTATACTTCTTTTGTCAGGTTTATCCCTAACTATTCATATTTTTGATGCTAGATATTTTTGAAACAAAATCAGTTGCTGCTTTTAATTGCTGGTATGTAGAAAGAAATACATTGATTGTTTTGTGTATTGATCTGAAATCCTGTAGCCTTCCTAAACTCACTTATTGGTAGTAGCCTTTGGAGATTCTGTTAGATTTCTACATTGACAATTATGTCATCCATGAATAAATTAAACTTTTCATCTTTTGTTCCATTCTTGATGCCTTTTTTGCATACCTTATTACAGTGGCCAAAACTTTCAGTGTTAAATAGAAGTGGTTGTAGCAGATATCCTCATATTTTACTTGGAGGGATACATTCAGTTTTTTACCATAAAGTATGACATTAAAACTGTAGGAGTTTTGTGGATGCTCTTTCTCAGGTTGAGGAAGGGAAGTTCCATTCTATCTAGTTTGCTGAGCCTTTTTATCAGGAATGAATTTTGTCAATTTTTTTTTTACTTTTTTGCATCTATTGAGATAATTATCATGTAGTTTTTCTTTGGTGTATTGATGTAGTGAATTACTTTGATCAATTTTCCTAAGTTGAATCAAGCTTCTGCTCTTGGAATAAATGTTATTGGTAATAATGTATTTTTTAAAAAATAACATTAGCTTCAATTTGCCAAAATTTTGTCAAGAATACTTGCATGTATATTCATGAAACATACTTATTTGTGGTTGTATTTTTGTGTAGTGTTTTTATATCGTTTTGACATCAGAGTAATGCTAATCTTAAAGCAGGAGTTGGCAGGTGTCCCTCACTCTCTCCTTTACTAGAAGGGTTTGTGTATTCTTCTTTAAATATTTGGTAGGATTTATCAGCAAACACATTGGGAGTGAAATTTTGTTTGTAGGTTGGTTTTAAACTGCAAGCTCATTGAAAAAAAAGCTATAGATCAAGTTATATGTCTTTTTGACTGAACTTTGGTAGTTTGTGTCTCTCAAGTAATTTGTCCACTTGTAAATTTTACAATGTGATGAGCTACTGTTTATAATATTCTTACTGTCTTTCGACATCCTTAGGATATGAAATGATGCCTCATTTTGCATTCCCAATGCAAAATTTGTAATTTGCTTGTTCTTTCTGTCAGTTTTAGTTGTTATCCCTCATCTGTCTGGCTAATGGTATATCAGTTTGATCAATTTTTGCAAAAAGAACAAACAAAAACCTTGCTTTTGGCTTCATTAATTTTCTACATTTTTTTCTAGTTTCTGGATTTGTTTATGTTTATATTATTTCTTTTCTTTTGTTTACTTTGTGTTCTATTTTCTTTTTTTCACTTTTCAATGTTGAAGCTTTTGATATTTTTTAATATAACCTTTTTTCCTTTACTATTATTTTGCTTAATTCATTTTTTTAAATTTTTGAATTACAGTTGAAATTCAACATTAGTTTCATATATAAAGCATAGAGGCTAGACACTTAGATAACTTACTGAGTGATAATTTTAGTGTACACCTGGCACCACATATAGCTAATGCAGTATTATTAACCATATTTCCTGTGCTGTACTTTACATCCTTGTGACTATTTTGTAACTACAATTAGTACTTCTTAATACCTTCACCTTTTTGAATATGACTTTTAATGCTGTAAATTTTTCTTTACGAACTCTATTAACCCATGCATTTTGATATGTGGTATTTTCATTTTATTATGTTCAAAATATTGTTTTATTTCCCCTTGGATGTTTTTCTTTAATCTATGACTTATTTAGAAACATATTAATTTCTGCTCATTTGTGATTTTCCTTTCATATTTTCCTTACTGATTCTAGTTTAATGTGATTAGAGAATGTACTTTGGCCCTTTTCAACCCTCTTAAATTTATTGTCTCTTATTGTCTGAAGGAGAATATGGTGTATTTTGGAGAATTTTTTTCAGTACATGCTTGTAAAGGAGTATTCTGCTGCTGTTGAAGGAGTTTTCTATAAATGTTGGTTAGATCAAGTTGGTAATAGTGTTTTTTGTAAATCTTCTGTGTCATTACAGATTTTCTATCCATTCATTCTAACAGTTACAGCAATATACTTGAGAGGAGTTGTTGAAATCCCTCATGCTAATTGTATAATTTGTCTACTTCTTTCAGTTCTTTCTGCTGCACTTCATATATTTTTAAGCATTGTTATTAGGTGCGTGGACCTTTAGGTTGTTTGGACATCTTTATGTATTGATTCTGTTATTATGAAATGCCCCTTTTTATTTCTGGTAATATTCCTTATTTTCAAGATTTGTTTTATCTGATGTTAATGTAGCCACTCCAGATTTCCAGATTTTAATAAGTATTTATATAGAATATATTTTACTGTTCTTTTACTTAGCTGGTTTTTTTTATTAAAGTTGGTTTCTTGAGATAGCATATAGTTGGGTTCTTATCTAATCTGGTAACCTGACTTTTAATGAGGTATTAGATGAGCCTTTTCACTTTATGTTTATATTATTAGCTTTAAATCTACCACTCTGCTCTTTTGTTTTTTGCTATGTCCCACCAACTCTTTGTTTATTTATTTATTTCTTTTTTCCTACATACTTTGGGTTGAGTGTTTTTTAATTTTCTTTTGGGCTCTGTGTAAGGACTATTTCATAGAACAGCTTTGTACTTGTGGATGAAGGTACTGGTTTCTGTCCTTCCCATGAAATCATGTGGAATCAATTGCCCTCTCAGATGACTCTCTTTCTCTGTTCTGGTTCGTTTCATGATCAGGGAGAAAGGCTGTACTATACAGGGGTGGGCAAAGGTAGGTTTACAGCTGTGAGTACATGAAACAGTTTATTCTTGTATTATTATTATTATTAATTATTGTACTTTCCATATGAACAACTGCAAACCTACTCTGACTTACTCCATGTATATTTGATCTATTCTTTTGAAATAAGTCTTGAAGTCTCCCCCTCAATGATTTTATTCCCCTTTTTATTTCCTGTCTCAGGAATTGGAAATTAAGAAGATGGCCAAAATTGGTAATAAAGAAGCTTGCAGAGTTTTAGCCAAACAGCTTGTACAACTACGGAAACAGAAAACAAGGACTTTTGCTGTGAGTTCTAAAGTCACTTCTATGTCCACACAAACTAAAGTGATGAACTCCCAGATGAAGATGGCAGGTGCAATGTCTACTACAGCAAAGGTCAGTGGAAGCCTTTATATCCATAGATTTAGAGTTTAATCTAAGATGTTTAAATATAAACATTCAAGTCAATTTTAAAAGCACCTCCTGATATATATGTAGTATAGAATCTGTGTGATTTTTTTGGCAAATTGAGTTATAATGTTAGATAATCCAGATAACCACTTCTAGGTATTTATTGATTTGTTTTCATTAAAAAAATTTTGTTTTAGGACATTTCCATTGTTCCATGGCTACATGAAGCTTCTGAATTTTTCATATTGACTTAAAACACTATTTCCTTTTTCTCTTAAATTGTCAGAGATTTGTGGGCTTCTTATTTCATTAAGCTCTAAGTTTTGATTACTTTGGAGTAGTAATTTCCTCTTGATTCATTTTCATAAATGTGTGAGAGGGACACATGAATAGTGTTACAAGGATTTATCGATTAATTTTAATAGGGATTTATGTTTTAACTTACAGTCTTTATATTAAAGATGTTTTTACTCTAGACTTTAAAGGACTCTGAGCCTTTTGATTTTTTTTAATAAATAATGAGCTACTTAATGCATATGAAGTGCTGTGAGGAACAAAGATGAAGACTCTCCTCTCAGAAATTACAGTTCATTGGGAGGTGGTATTAAGGTATGTTTGAAAAGGAAACTACCCACTGTACATCAGTCTGTGCTAAGCTTCAGTGAACCACACAGGTCTTTGAATAGAATTAATTATCTGACTGCAGAAGACCTCGGTCTTAAAAGTATCAGTTGGTGTTAAATACAAGGAAGGGTGAATATTTGTATGAAGAGCAAAGGGAAGAAAGCCACAGAGGAGAGAAAGTATGAGATTCTTATTAGGAAAATGGTATATATAGTTGATTCTCATTTTTTGCAATAGTTAATGTTCAACAAAGTTGGAATTAGTGAATGCCGAGCCATTGCTCTGAAGGAAAATACAGGGTTAGGTTCCTGGTGAGCCTTTGGTTAAAACATTTTTGTCAACCAATATATACCTAAATCTGTTTTTTGTGTATTTCTGGTGAAAGGAGCCATATTTAATTGTTGATTTATTAACATTGAACTCATGGCAACAGCACTCTAACTCATGCTTGAACAAAGCTCTTCTTACAGTATATTTTCTCCATAAGCACATCACAGCCTTGTTGTGTACTTAGGAACAAAAAAATGACACTTTAGTACTATGCTTGGGGACCATTTTAAACAGCAAAATCACTAATAAAGGCACAAGAAATTGGCAATATGTAAACGGGTAAAAGTATACTTGTTTACAGTATGAAAGCTGAAACAAGAAGGCAGGGTGTTGTCTTGTTTGACCTCGGCTGAAAAGGTACATGCTGGGTGACTAAAACTTTTGGTGCTCTGTGCACGTCCACAAATGAGCACTAAGCACTCATTATAATTATCATCATCATCAGTAGTAGTAGTAGTATAAATATTACCATGTTTATATTATATATTTGTTATTATCATTATAAAGCACTTATAATTATTATTACTAGTTGTATTATTTACAACAATAATGTCAATTGCAGGTAAAGTATTATAATATATACCAGTAAGTATAAAATTTCACCTATACCGAGTAGAATTTAACCAGGGGTATGTATTCTAATCTGGGTATCAGGAACTACTTCTTTAAGAAACTGATATTATGAGGGGGACCCAAAGAAATGTAGAATTTATTAAAAAATTGTGTATTTATTCTTACATGTTTAAACTTCAGTCACCTTCAAAATACTCTCCATTTGTTGCAATATATCTATTGAGATGTTTTTTCCCACTGCTCAAAACAAAGTTTGAATTCGTCCATTTTGATGTCTTTTAGTGCATCTGCTGTATTTGTTTCACTTCTTCCACATCAGCAAAATATTTCCCTTTAAGGACTTTTTTCATCCAGGGAAACAAACAAAAAAAAAAGTCAATTGGGGCAAGATTAAGTGAATACAGAGGGGAGGGCATGGGAATGGTGCCTTTTTTGGTCAAAAACTGCTGAACACTCCACACAGTGTGGGCAGGTGTGGTTGTAAATCACCATCATGAAATGGGCAAATGCATTGAGAGAGTCTTAAAAAAAAATTCATTGAAGCCAAATGCAGCCTCTCACAACAATGCGAGCTGATATACTGATACAAATTGGGCTCCTAGTACACTCACCTAGTGGAGGAAGCCCATACTACACGGGGCTTGCTCTCCAAGATAATTTTGTTTTTTGGGGGGATCCCCCCTCATATGGCCTGAAGTCTGAAGTGTTGATAGTAAAAGCAGATGGGGGAGCACTGCAGGTGAGGGGGAGCGTACAGAAAAGTCTGGTGCTGGGAGAGAGCATGGCGTATTTAAGGAAATGAAAGATCAGTGTGACTAGAGGGTAGTGGTGCAAAATGAGACTGGCTTATTAAACAGAGTTCAAATGATACTTGCTCTCAGAGGTGAATTATGAAATTTGGCTTTTAATACTAAGAGCAGTGGGAAGCCATTGCAGAGTTACTAGGTATGTGTGGACTGGCGGGGGATGGGGAACGTAGAGTCCTACTTAAAGATTACTTGGGCTGCAACATTGCACACAAATTGAGAAAATACTGTATGCTTAACATTTTGAAACTAGTATTTTTATATTGTATAGTGTCTTTTAATACTAAACTAACTGTATAATACACATACATAATATATATTTTATATATATATAAGACATTTTGTCTATACTAGATGGCATTCGTCTCTTTTAATAAATGGGTTATGAACATAAAATGTAAAAGAATTCTTTTCACATTTTTTACAAAACTCAATGTTTTGTTTTTTTCTTTAAACCATGGTTTAAAATGTGTTAATGGATTAAGTATATATGCTAGTGTTTCCTTTTTAGTTTTGATATTAAATTAATGACTGATTATGGAACCAGGAGGCAGGCTGGGTAGAGGGGGGCAAAGGGGGGAAAAGTGGGACAACTGTAATAGCATAAACAATAAAATATTTTTTAAAATTTTGTAAAAATCAAATTAAGATTATTTTTAATTTAGATATTATCTACTTACCATATAATAGGCAAATGGAGCTTTCCCATCTGCATAGCAGTGGATTTTTTTATTGGCACAGTTTTTTTATTGTGTAATTTTTTGCCTACAGTTGAGATACGGTTTTTTCACACTAGTATTTGTTATACAGATGTTAAGCAGATGGTTTCCAAATGGTACTTTTTTTCTAGAATACTTAAGATTCTTATGTTTAAGTATGGAAGAATGTATATTTTTTTCAGAGCCTGTGTCTATTTGATGTGTTCTCTTAGGAGTTATCCATAGTAAAATTTTCATAATTGTGTAGCTCACTTAGATATTTTCATATTTTAAAGACAATGCAGGCTGTTAACAAGAAGATGGATCCACAAAAGACATTACAAACAATGCAGAATTTCCAGAAGGAAAACATGAAGATGGAAATGACGGAAGAAATGAGTAAGTTTAATAATTTGTAATGAAATTTACAGTTTTCTCCTGCTTGAAATAGCTAAGTCTATTTACTAGCAACCTCATATTATCATCCATGAAAGCACAAATATTGAAAAAAATAATATAGTACCCTTCTAAATAATCAACTTGTATTATAACTCTTGTATTTTGAAATTGGCAATGTATATGGTTTAAAATTCTATTAATGTTTAACTGGAGAAAAAAATATAAAATATGTTATGCCACATTTCTATGCCATACTGTCCCCAGCTGTTCTACTATATTGATTAGTGGACCAAAATCATCTTATGAATAAAATAAGTTTCTGGTATAAATTGGGTAATTCCAGAACTGCATTGATTCTTTCATACTATGGGTATTGGAGGTAGAGATAATGGAGCTCTTTCATTCTTTTTTTTCCTCCCAAAATTATTTAATACTTAGTTTTCTTTTCTTTCTTTCTTTCCTTTTTTGAATATAAACTAAGTGCATGTTGTGTAGAAATATGGAGACTACAGAGATATAAAGTGTATTTTAAACCTATCTTCACACTACTCAGACACCGTTACTGTTAATGTGTTTTTTTCCTATATTTTTCCATATCTTACTATAGTTAGGTCATATTACATGTTTTATTTTGAACCATATCCACATTTTAAAGAACATAATAGTATAACATGAGCATGTGCTCATGACCTTAAATCTTCTCTGAAGCCTTTTTTAAAAAAATGGCTTCAATATTGTATAACATCAATATCAAATAACATCAAACCTAATTTACTAAATCATTCCTAAAGTGGTCAGTAAGATTGTTTTAAAATGTTTAATGTATTCGATAATCTTTTCATAAATGTTTCTATTTTATCTTTGCCTAAATGTCTTAAATCTCCTTGGAGCATTAACTTAATTAAGGCTTTGCTTCACACTACCAGATTCTTCTCAGAAAGACTATACCAGGCCCTGTTTCATCAGTGATGAATGTCCCTTTATAGCATCCTGGTCCACATTCAGTTATTACTTACATGATAGTCAAAATTGGCATGATTGTTTTATAAAGATATTTTCTAATCATCTTACAACTATGTAGGGATATGCTAGTTTAGCACTGCTAGCATTTTAATTTTACAGCATTTAGTGCATAAATGGTATCTGATTAAATTACCAAGGTTTCTAAACTACCATTGCTGTGGTATTCTATTTCATGTTATCTATTTTGCTTTTAGAATTTAATAATACTGGATAATACTGTATTTTTATAAAAAATTCTTTAGTTTTCACCTTGAATCTTTACTTTGAAAAATGAAATTTTTGAAACATCTTTAGTGCATTTTTAGTGACTGAGAATTGTCATTTTTATAATGATCACAGTATCTAACATGTTTATTTGGTTTCCAGTGATGGCACAGGTGTGAACAGATCTTATCAGAGGAATTAACTTATCCATTAACCTATAGTGAAGAGAATTAATAAGCTCATACATAAAACTCATACTTATCACAATTCTTACTTGTATGTTACCACTTTCCAAATGATTCTGAAATAATAGTAGTTATTGATGGTTGTTTGTTTTTTCTATAACCAAATAATGTATGTTAGCATTAGTATTTTCATCCACAAATAAATTTTAAGTTTAAATGGACATCTTTTTAAAATTAGAGTTTATATTATGCAGTGTTGCTCTAAAACTTGTTTACATTCAAGTTTTATGGGGAAAAATCTTTGTGACTAAAAGATTCTGCTAAAAGCAGAATCCGGCTAAGAGCATTCCATAGACAAGAACTCTCTTCACTAGAAAAACGCTTCTGTTTACCAATCAGCAGCAGGCTTATGAGGAGATCTCACAAGGCTACCTGTCTCCTCTCCTTTGGGAGCATCCCCCAGTGATCAGGAGACCGATCATAGGCCAGCTGGTTAATTATTTCCCTCACAACCTTTTTCCATTCGTGCACCTTAAATTATACACCAGTAGAAGAACTTACTTTTCCTTGTATACATCCCTGTTGTCTTCAGCCGTGTCTTTGTTCACGGTGTTCCCTCTATGCTCTTTGGTCATATCTTTTCCATCCTTCAAGGACCACGCCACATTACTTCCTCCCAGCTGGAGATAATCTCTTCCCTTTTTATAATCATTTATTTTTCTGTTTATCACAATCTATTATCTCTTTTTTTCTCTTTTCTATTTAAGTGTACACTACACCAAATCTTCATTTTTCTCCATCTGTCAGTTGTATCTGTACCACACTTAGTGTTGAAGATAAATGAAACATATTCCCAGGCCTTCAGCAATTCCTTCCCCACAGCTCCTGACAGGATGCCTTCTATGCAGAAGGCTTTCTGTAATATTTAGGAAGGTGAGGGACGCAGGGGAAAGGGTAGGGCAGTAATAATCACTGCAGGGCTGGGTTGGACATCGTTCTTTGGACAAGTTCAATACAATATTTAATCTTAAACTTTGTTAGAATATTTTACATACATCTTAAGTGAAAATTTTAAAAAGTTGAAAATATAATTATAGGTATAAAAAGAATAAATTGTCTCCTAGATACTTATAAGATATTGGATTCTTAACGTATTCTTCCACAGTCAGGTTTAACAGCTACCAGCTGAACAGGTTTAATTTGTGGAATCATATTTAAACTTTAATCCTATAGCTGTGGCTATCATACGGTTCTTGTTTATTAAAGATGTAATTTTAAAAAATCAGAGTAGACTTGTTTCATTTAAGGATAATTTGTGTTGAAACAAGTGTTATTCGAGGTTTAGTGCCTTAAAAATTGAACTATTTTGACATTTGAAAATAACTTTTGTAATTTGTTAGTTCACCTAAGTTTGCTATAATATAATAGTATAGTATAGTATAGTATAGTATATAGTTGGGCTGCCTTCTAAAAATGTAAATACAGCCTGAAATCCCTGAAATATTTTTGAAAGTAACTGCTATTTTCCTCCCCATTCTCCCAAGTCAATGACACGCTGGATGACATCTTTGATGGCTCTGATGATGAAGAAGAAAGCCAAGATATTGTGAATCAAGTTCTTGATGAAATCGGAATTGAAATCTCTGGAAAGGTATGAATGTCTTCTTAGTTGGAAGTAGTTTCTACCACTTTTGTCACTTAAATGTTTTAAGTTGTCCTTTACTATTAGATACATATTTTTATATCTGAAAAGTAAATTAAACCTCTTTGTAGCACATCCTTTGTGTCCTAGGCCAGATGTTTAATGACACACACTTTTTTTTCTCTTTTCCTCTCTTTAATATAGATGGCCAAAGCTCCATCCGCTGCGCGAAGCTTACCATCTGCCTCTACTTCAAAGGCTACAATCTCCGATGAAGAGATTGAACGACAACTCAAAGCTTTAGGAGTAGATTAGTCAAAAAAGCTGTAATATTTTGCATATTTATAATTATTTAGTTATAATTATAAACCAGGCATATTGCCATTTTCCCCTTACAAGACATATTTATTTTGCAAAAATGAAGACCGTGAGTAAACAGTTGTTTCCTAACCCATGGCTGTTTGACTCTTTTGCCAAAGAATGATATTGGTGCAAAATGGGAACTCTTTTGGGTTTTAATTAGAACTGTTTAGGAGTGATGATGTGTAAAAGGTTGACAACTTCTCTGCATGGCATAGAGAAATTATATTCATTACTTAGTGTAGTTTATGTTCTAAATCTTTTTACACTGAAGACAAAAATCTTGTTAAATGCCATTAGGCATCAACTTAAAGCTTCCTGTAAAAATATTAAAAGTATTATCATTAATTCTATCTGTTGCTTGTCCTTTATAAGTGATATGTGACCATAGGTGATTCAGCTGCCAAATTAGTTTTAAATGATCTGAAAGAAGAGTGCTATTTAAACATCTGTCTTAAATAAAAACTGTTCATGAGCTTTTGTTTTCTGTCTTTTCCCCTTGGGAGGACATTCTAGTTGATAAGTGTATTACCTTTGAAAATGTGCTTGGCACCTGCCTTAAATAGCACAAACATATTGTGCACATCTTTAAATTATTGTAACTGACAGAAAAGAATTACATTTTAAATTAAAATTGGGCCTCTTACAAAAATTTTCTTGGCTGTCTTTATAGCTTATAAAAGTGAATTGAATGTATTAGCAAAAATGGATTCTGAATTAGTAATATTTTGTAGTAATAAAGTGATGTATGTTGGTCTTTCTTCGACAGGAGTAAGATTTTTTCAATGTGATTATTACTTAATCTCTGCTTAATTTTGAACTTTATTAATCAGTACATTGAACCCTCTAAATTGAAGCCATCATTTTCAAATAAATAACAGTGCTATGGCAGTACTCTAGCTAAATTCTAAAATAAAAATTAGCATTTTTTTTCATGGTAAATAAACTAAAACTTTGTAAGAAATTATTCCCTAAATGTTTGTTAATGTCATAGCAGTATTTTTAAAGGTAAAATTGCTTTGGTATTTAATGTATATATTGAAAGTGAGAAGAAATGAAGTAGCAGATTATAGAGATAGAATGTAGAATTAGTTTAGCTTTGAAAAATGATGTTGTAATAGATGGATTCTAGCACATTCCACCATAAAAACCCTGGAGGAGATTATGTAGATGTAACCTGATTAATTTGAGATGATGGACATTTTGGATTAATATTGACGATATGAATACATTTTAGAACTAGCATACAGGTGTCATATGGATTGGGGAAAGAATGAAAAGCTAAACAATATAGTTTATAATCCATTTTGTAATGTTCAAAGATATGGTTCCATTATATAGTAGTATTAAATATCGTTACCCTGCACATTAATTGGTCAAAAGATCTTACCAGATTATAGAATTACCCAGAACTCTTTTGATTCTTGGATATACATAGTAATGCCAACTAACTTTATTTACTTTCTAGTTTACATGTGGGAGCTTTTGCTTTTAAAAATTATTTTGTTAAAAAAACTCAATAAAGATTTATTGCTATTACGCTTTTATATATCTCTTTTACTACATTTTGGCTTCTGCTAAGTTAAAATTTTTATGTGTATCTGGTGATTTATAAAAATAAAATTAGATAACTCTACAACTTATATTGTAACAAAAAAATTTTCTTTCTAAGAATTAGCAATGGATCTTGACCAGTGTGGCTCAGTTGGTTGGGTGCTGTCTCACAAGGAGAAAGGCCAGTTTGATTCCTGATCAGGGCACATGCCTGGGTTACGGGTTCTATCCCCAGTGGAGGTGTGTTCGAGAGAGGCAGCTAGCTGATCCAAGTTTCTGTCTCACATTGATGTTTCTTTCCCTCTCTTCCTCCCTCCCCCAAACCAATCAATAAAACCTAAAAAAAATCCACGTTTCTAAATATATATTATAAAAAGCCATTGCGCTAAAAAATAATAATAATAATTGGCAGTTGTGAATGGAATGAGCCTAAGAATTAGGTTGTTTCAGAAGAAATTGATCTTACAATTCCTAGAAATATTTAGGGGATAAACATTTTAAAATGTATTTTTTAAACAGGCAAGTTTTAGTGATTCCATTTCAGTCAAACATCGATGCAACAGAAGACTTTGGGAACTCAAAGAAGAAAGTAGACTCATTCTGATTTGACTACATTTATAAAGTGTTCAGTGGCACTTTTCACAATCACTACAATTTTGTAATGTTATAATATCCTTCGCTAAAAATAAAACTTTCTTTGGTCCCTAAAGATTAGGAAACAAAGATTCTTACACATTGATGTTGATGAAAATACTGACTTTTAAAAAAATGTTCCCTAACTTCCCTCCCATCTTTGGCAGAAGAGTTTCTTTTAACAACTCTGTTCAGACAGCAGGTTAACAATAGCAGAACAGTGTAGCAGTTTGTTACTGAAAATGAAGCAGCCCAGTGTTGCATCCGGTTACCTGGTGTAAAATTAATGGGTGGAGATTTCACAGTATCAAAGAAGTAGAATATGGTACAAAAGTATCAATACTAATGATAGCACCTAATCTTAGAAAACATAAAATGACCATCTGTCAGATAATCATGTTGTGTAGAACCGTGCCCTGAGGGGAGTACCTGGTTATGGCAAGGCCTGGTGGCAAGGGGCTCAAGATTGTGACCCTATAGGTTAAAAGGGGAATCTGGCAGCCAGGCGGCTTCACCTTCTTTGATATGCAGTGACGTGTATTTTATTATTTGCATTTGAATACTTTTAGGGGAAGCCTGCATTCTCACCTTCTCCACATTCCTTACCACCCCAGAAGCCACACTTCTAGCCTGATCCCTGTGGGCCTATTTAAATACATAATCCTATTTTAGACTTTCCCCAGTAAAACAGTGTGTGTTCAGGTCTGAAAAGAGATCTATGAGGACTTCTCCTATGATGCCATTACTCTGCATGAATACATGCTTGTAGCAATAAGAAAACAGCTTTCCAACTTCCTTTCTGTAGAAGGTGAGTCTCACAAAGGGATTTAATCTCTACTTCTAACCTTAATTCCTTCAAGAGCCAATTGGGTCAAATTTGCCTTAGAGGACACCTGAGGATTGTGAAGTCCGATTCCAGGTACCCTACTGCTGGAACACCACACACACTTTCCCTACCGCCACCATCCTCCCAAGAACTTGAAAGCCTGAACAACTTCCTCCTATCCCCAATCACTGAAAATACTTAACTACACAAATTCTTCCACTGTTAGAGATGGAAAAGTAAATTCTGAGTTTGTCAACCACTTCTACCAGGTAAAGCTGAATGTATCAATTAGCATAAGCAACAAATAGGTCTTTCCATTTTAATGGCCTACTCTACCGAATTTTCAAAGATTTATACAGGATAGCTCACAAAAACATCAGATGGAAGCGCTGTATGGCTGAAGTCAGCTTTTGGCATTTATTCTTGAAAGAAATGAACACAGGTACTGCACAGGAAGTTGCAGATTTGTCATTTAATTGCTGTTTAGGATTCTAAATATCATTAACCATTTTATATTTTTTTAAAAAGATCAGTATCTAGTAAGATAATATAGTTAGAAAATTTGATCTCAAAACTTAACACAAATGAGTTAATAGTAAATATCAGTGCATTTACAACTAACTCGTGACTAAAGAATTGCTGTTTTAATATTAAGTATTGATACAGAATAATTCCTTTTAGGGACAGAACTTGGTTCCCAATGCTATTTGGATCTAAACTTGAAAAGAATGACCTTATTGGTGAATCTGATAATATGAAATGAAGGAATCATACATATGTGATGATTATCTAAGCCTTTGTACGTACGTGCTTGTGTTTGTTATGTGAAGTCAGATTAAACATTTCCAGCAGATTTATATTGAAAGTGCAAAAAGCCATTATCCTAGATTTATATTGCATTACATTTTGCTTCTGTTTTCAAGTTTCAAAGCTGTGCATAATATGTATTTTTATGGGTGCATGTGTATATGTGCATCCCACAATGCCTTTTGCAAATTAAAGAATCCCTTTAACACTTTATGTTTTCAGCGGGGGATCTATCCAGAGACAGAATTTAGACATGTACGTAGCTGAATAATTTGAAATTTGCTCTTGAATAAGAAAAGCCTTTATATGTTTATTGCCTTAATACCTCCTGTACTGAAGCATAAATGATCAGGCCACTGAAAATTTTTGTTCTTGCTAATACACCAAAGTTTCTAGTCATCTAATTGATGCTGATCGTAGGTGCACAGACATGTGTGATCTACATAGACTATAACCTGTGTGATACTTGGTCTTTATCAATATTACAAAAAGCAAGAGACTGGACAGTATAATTTATTGAGTAAGCATTCCAAATCAATAATAAAATTTGATATAATTATTCTCATTATCGTTATATAAAATCAATTAGATAAACTTTGCCAGCAGGTTTACACTCAAAATGCAAAATATGTCACTATATGATATTAATATCACATTACAGTTTGCTTCTACTTGAAAGTTTCAAGGAAGTACATTCTTCTAAATTAAATATTTCTTGAGCTACAATTCCCTGAATTCAAAAGCATATCAATCTTTATTAATAATAAATGATATTCTAATTAAACAAAAAATGATAGTCTTTTTTGATAGGACCCCAGATAATTTTGTGGTTATGAGATTTTAAAAATAAATTACATTGTTAAATTTAGTCAGTCACTCTTCAAGTTTGTAGGCATTATTAACAGTACACTCCTTCCTTCATTTAATGATGAACAAATCATTAATCAATTAAATTAAAGATTGCATGCCTGCTATAAGCAAATGCTTTCCAAGGCACTGGAGAAAAAACAGCAAACAAGCACACATCTTCCCTGTACCCTCACAGTTTACAGAAAAGCCGTTTGTGGCTTAAGGATCCATAAAAAAAGCATATTTCTATAGCTAAACATCAAGAACATGCCTAGGAAGAATAAAAGGTCATAAATTAATGTTTCTACAAATCTCTATTGAAACATTTCTTTGGGCACTATGCCCTAACTGTATTAGCTTCAGAGGTGTCACTTCTGGTTAAGATTTATTCCTAAATATGATAAGGCACCTCTGGCTCTTAGTGTAAAACTGGAGTTCGAACAAACTATTAAAGCTGATGGTAATCAAGACATTGGTTAAGGAATTATCTAATTGGATTTTCTCTGGTCACTGAGCCGCACCAATCAGGGAAAGAATTATTGTTTTATTACTATTAGTATCTTTTAGTTTAAATGTACAATGCAGCTTTGGAGAATTATTTCAAAGAAAATAATTCATCAAAATAATTTAAATTGAATTTTTTTAATGTAGAAAAGAAAAGCTTCTGCAAAAGTTATTGATGTAAAATGATTTTTGAAGCCAACCAAAGAACTAATTTCTATGTTTGTTGGAGAACAGAGAGGAATAACCAGTAGAAAAATTTGCAATTACACAATAGGAAATTTTATCTGCAGTCAAGATTTTCCTTGGGAATCGTAAATAAGCTCTGATTCAAACTTGTTTTCACCCGTTTTTCTCTCTGCCTTCGGTTGCAAAACCAAACTCTTACTACTTCTTTCTCGAGATTCAGTTCTTCCGCCATCCTCATGATCTCTTGAGAGGAGGGCTTACTCTGCTCTCCAAAGTGTCTCTCCAGAGCCCCTTTAGCAGCAATACTGGGAGATGGGGTTGGGGCAGCAGGTGGGGGTAGAGAGGGTGATATTAAGTTTTTGGCAGTTCAGAATTAGGTTGAATTTCCTAAATATTTACATGAAGACAAAACTTAAAGACTCTGAAAACACTTTTAAAACTCTTCAAGAAGACAGATGTATGACTTGTCATACTTTTAGATGCTTGTCTTTTTCAGGGTACTATTTATTACCAGAGTCACAGGAAAAAAGGAGGAACCCAGACTTTCTTTGTTTATCCCACTTTTCACCACAAGAGGGCACTGACTTCCTGAGAAGGAAGGAACACTTTGCTAGGCATTTCTACAAGTTCCCCAGAAATCATTTAAGTTGTTTACCATGCAATAGATGAAATATTCAGTGAACAACCAACCAAAACAAAACCTATATGTTAGCATTTCCTCTGTGAGCCTCACGGACATTACAAAAAGATCAAACAACAATCTTTCTGGTTTAAATTTCAAGAAGTTGCCTTTGACTTGAAAATAACTAAAATACTAATTACTAGTTTTGTTATTTTTAATAACACAGATACCAAATTGCCAGAGCAAGACTTATATCTAACACTTCAGCAGAAACAGTCGCTACTTTTAGAAGTAATTGTTCAGATTCTACTTTATCCAAAACTTGTGGAGCACAAGTGTTCTTGAATCTAGCAATACAAACTATTCCAAGAATTGTTTAAAATTACTAGCTCTCTGCTTTTCACTATTAAGGTATTAAAATATGCTTTTTCCCACATACCTTTTTTTTCAGTTGACTATTTCACCTTACATTTATATGCTATGTTGCACCTATTTGTGCTACAAACCGATTTCTATTAGTAAAATATCCTTTTCTTCCTCCAGTAACATTTACTGTCTCCAAAGCGTACCTTATAGTTGTTCTGCGTTTCCTCTTCCTCTCATTGACTCCCACTTTTTCACTGTATAAAGCTGTAATGGGAAAAAGAGGGACAGTTACAGAAACCGAGTAGAGTTAAAACAAAACCTGGATTTGGATTTCAAATGTTCATTATAAAGCAATGCAAAATAAAATCACTGTACATTTTTGTTTTAATTTTTTGCAACTGATGCCATTTTATATTACAAGCCCTAGATAGAAATGCAGACAACTGGAATTGAATAATAAAATAATCTAAAAAAATGTTAATATAGAAATATTAACTTTTCAAAAAAAATGTGTATAAATCATATCGCTTCTCTGCTTTTGTTCCCTCTCTTGGTCTAGATGCTCCCAAACCTTACTCTTTATCCAGCCTTGACATATTAGTGTGAGTAGATAATTCTATCACATTAAATTGCTCATTTGGCAATTGCTTATGCTAGTCACTTGGAAGACTACTGTGTGAAAATGCTCTGTTTAGGCTAGTACAAGGTTATAAAAATGATTGCATGTACAGTCACTACAGTACAGAACAAAAGCAAAGAAAATCTGAATGTGTTAAAAATTCATCTCACCATTTCACACCTGTGCCACATTGTCTTAGAAAGCTGTCCTCATACAACTTATTTTTCCACTATTTACCTTCTCAGTAAATTTATCCCTATGCTTGAATTAGCTTTCCTTTCAGTGTGATAAAACAAGACAGTTATTTTTTTATCTTAAAGAAGAAAAACTAAACTAAACCTCAAACCTCTCACTTTATTGTTAATCCCACCAATAGAAGCCACTATTTTTAGGTTAAAACATCACAGAGCCTTCTGAGATACAGCTTCAGTACCTCCCACTTGCTCTGCTTCCTCCAGCCATTTGGATAATATTGCTTTCAGTTTGCATGCATTTTTGAAGCTGAGCTGCAGGTTTTCAAATCGGCAGATAGTTGTTTGACTGAATTCAGAGCCATGCACAGCTGCCAAGGCCTCCCCAACATTTGTTTGGGTGTATCCTGTGGAAGGACAGTAAAGACCATTAGCTTCGGCTTTCAAGAAGCATTCATTTTGGTCCAGTATTGCATAAATCTGTGTATCTTTCTTTGTTCAGTACTGCTTTTAAGCCTGCATTTGTTGGAAATTTAGAATTATTTTGTAAGGTTCACTGTAAAATTGTCCAGTATTTAAAAAAATATTCCTTCTAGTTAATTATTTTTCCTACACGTCAAAATAATTCATATGGGAACTCCTGCCATTCATACTATTTAGTCAAATTGTATAGCTGTATCATCAAATACTTAAACATTCTTGTACTCTTTGTTATTATTATTAAATATCTCATGATATATGCTCAAGGCAATAGTATATTTAATATAATGTATAACATATATGGTGCTATATCATAAATATTTTTATCTCAACTGTAAGAGTGAAAAAATAAACTATATTGTTGAAGGGTACCAAGTAAAACTAAAAATTATCCTTACTTTCTTTGTTTCCCATGTTTATTATGAGACTTTGATCACCCACCATTTTATTTACACACCCAAACACATTTATTACATCATTTGGTAATGCTTCTATCTCCTGGCAAAGATGCTCATTGATTGTCCCGGACATTGTTACAGTACAAGTTGCTAGGAACCATCAATATCAAATTAGAAACATTCACAGCAATATAAATACCAAACATAAAATGAATGTTATAAATTGCTTACTGCTATGTTTATTGCATGTAGCAACTACACATTAATTTAGGGCCTAGGGCTATATACCTGTATTCATAAAGTGGTTGCATATGATACTCATCAATACATTTTATTACCAAATAACTTATGGTTCATTTCACAAGTACAGAAGTTTGAACTATAATTTTCAATCTATTAAAAAATTCACTACTTCATGAATTTAAATCAAGATTAGTTGTTGCAGTTGTTTTATGATGAAACACTTTTCAGTAGAAAGTGAACAAAGGCTATGAACACAAAATCCACAGAAATGAAATTATAGGTGACTGCACAACACTCGAATTTTCACTCAGATGAGAAATTGGATATGCAACTACCATGAGATATGGCTTTGACCTGTTTGATTTGCAAAGATACAAAAGATTAAGCACATATTTTTTCTCAACAACTATTTATTTATTCTATTTGTCAGTCACTGTTCTAAGCGCACAGGAGATGTCCTTAAGGAGAAGACAAAAACAAAGAAACAAATCAACAACCAGCAAAAAACTCCCGCCTCAATAGATATTGTTTTCTGATTGGTGGCAAAAGAGGCATTCTGATGGCAGCAAAATTTGGTACAATGTATACATGGACATATTTGGCATCTATCAAAATTATAAGTATGCACACTCTGATGAAGCAATTTTGCTTTTAACAGTTTTCCTGCACATATATTTGCATAAGTACAAAATGACATTTATGAAGTTTATTATTGTAACATTGATTTTAACAAAATAATATTGGAGACCACATAAATTTATCATCAGTAGGGGATTGGTTAAATAAATTGTAAAATGGAATATAAGAGATCCATTTTAAAAAAAGTTTCTAAAAATGGATATGGAAAGCTCCTCAACATAGTTATTTTTTTAAAAAAAATATGCATGAAGAAATATATGTATTTGCTTATATATTATAATATCTGTAAAAGGTTACACAAGAAACTAACAACATTGAATAGTAGGAAAGACAAAGCAGAAGGAATACACTTTATATTCTTTTATATCTTTAAATAATATGGATGTGTCATCTTTTCAAAAGTTCAAAGAAAATACAGAGAAAACAGGGCACTTTGAAACTAATTTTGAGGTAGTTAAGTTGAGAATGAATGCCATTAACTTAAACATCTATGTATTGAGAGTATGAAAAATTTAGAAGGAAATAGAGGTTTGTGTAGGAGTGTCACACTTGGACAAACTTAAATCCACAGTAGAGATCTGTAGACTGAGAATTGTCTTGGGCTTTTGAGCAGACTAAAAGAGATTGAACAGTAATATAGTCAGGACCCGAAGACCAAGTTGTGTGGCACATTGCTCTTAAAAAGCACATACCTAACTTGATTCTTCTCACTTTAAATTCATTGGCAAACTTTTCAAGTTCTCGAATTTCTGGAGAATCCATGTCTATGGGCTCTTCAACCAATTTACTTTTCCTCCTGAGTTCCTGCTTGAAATCAGCAGCTGTGGGGTCCTCTGCCAGGAGGGGCTGGTGCATGGTCGGAAATCCATGGCTCAGGGTGTGGTCAGGAAACTTATAGAGACAAGGGGTTAAACTGCCTGTGAATAAAGAAAGGAAAAGGGCCATTTGTAGGTACCCCTATTTCTATACAAGTGAGGGTTTTTGCCTGTTAGAGCCCATTATTTTGCTATAACCAGTCTCCATTCTAAAAGGTAAACTGACAATTAGTCTTCTAAAGTATGAGCCCCTTAGTATAAATGTGATTATTTATTTCCCACCTTTCCTAGAAAAGCAAAACCTAAGATAATGCCAAAGGAATTGAAATAATTAAAATAAACAATAGAAATAAGCAAATTCTCTCAGAAGTGTAAGTTTTCCATCATTTTTTCTCTTAAAGTTGCCTATTTCTAGGAATCTGAGGTTCAACTCTAAGCAGAACATATGTATTTTTTAAAGTTTAATCTTTATTGTACTTTTTTCCATTACCATTTAGTCCCCTTATAACCCCCTCCCCCCAGCAATCATCACACTGTTGTCCACATGCATGAGTCCTTCTTTTTTGCTCAGTCCCTCCATTCTCTAAGCCACATGTCCACCAGCTCTCATCTGGTCTCCATCTATGAGTCTGTCTCTCTTTTGATTATTAGTTGAGTTTGTTCATCAGAATGTATATTTTGATTTCTATTTTCTTAATTCATTGAACACATAATCTGTGATGTTTTTTAAAATCAAGTCTCATAAGTGCTATACTGGAAAATTTTCTAAGGATCAGAAAATTGATTTTACAATATTTAGAAGCTTGACTTTTACCAATAAATGCTTAGCTTCAAAGGGAAATAATCATGTCTCTTAAAAATTTAACATAGGGAAAAAGAATTATAAGAACATACAGTACATTAATGTGATTTAAATATATTTGAGGAGTGAATAGATATGAACAAAAAGTAATTTTTAAAGTTCTATTAAAAAGTCAACAAGATTTTTTGAAAAGTATTCAATATAATGAAATCATTTTTGATAATTTTTAAAGTATGCACACAGAATTTTTATGGAATTTGTTATACTAGCCTACTGGTAAGACCTGGACATAGGCAAACCTGGGACTCTTGCCCCAGATTCCTGCAAAAACTGGCCCCAAGGGGTCCTCATAGACCTATTGTCTCTTAGAGGGCAGGCGCAAAGATGGACACCCCAGTCTTGACTCACTTGACTGAGCTGTCTCTTCCCAGGCAGAGAGACCACAGACAATCGGCTCTGTGGGTGGGGCACCCAGCAGGCACCATCACTACAATGCCTGTAGACTTGTATATAAGTCCTTTAATATTGTTAAGGTGCTGATGTACAATTGCTGTGTTTCTGTAAACTTACTATGTCCCAAGTTCATGCCATAAATGACGCTATAAAGGAAAAAAAATGTCAAGGAAGAGTTCAGTTCTAGATATGATAGGTAATCACCCCTGAATAATAGGGTACTGTGTTGATCGAGTGGTTTAAAAAATAAATCACAAAAAAAATAAAATATCTAAAGAATTTTTAATTGCTTCCAAACTTTATTCTCTATTAGTAGAGAAGATACTATCTCATTTGGGGACCAGGGGTGAGAGATAATAGAGTCAAATTCCCAAACATTTTGTTTTCTTCATTAGTACATTATATTTTAATTGGTAGAGTCCACTTCAATTTATGTTAAATGACACATGTATCCAAGACATTTTTATATAAATATTCAGTAATCAATCATTTTTGTTATGAATATAAATAAATATTTAAACCAAAAATAAATTACTACAGAATATATACAATAATCATCTTGGAAATGTTGAAAATATACATCAAATTTATGCTACTTATAATATCTTCATAAATATACCCACAAGTCAAAGACATGAGTAATAATGTATTTTGCCAGAATATATAGATCTTACATTAATATATCAATATGTAATGAGTAAAGAATACTGTAAGTCAGCAAACTGTTGGCTTGTTTATGAAGAATATGTAATTATAAATCAGACCCTTATCCAATAGACTATATTCTTTTTCTGAAGCAAAGTAAACATATAAGTGAAAGATTAAACAAAAAGCATAAAATCAATTAGGCTGTTTCACAGGTATTAAAAATATTTGAAAGAAACCATTCATGTCTAGAAAACTTCATATTACTTTTACAAACCAAAATTATTAAGTTTTACTTTTCAAAAAGTCAGTTAGTCCTCTAATTAATGTTTTAGTGGATGTTAAACTGATCAGACCAGATAAAAACTTTAAAAACAATTGTATCAATGTTGAATTTATTACATAGTTTATTTTTGAAAATGATTACTCATTTGGGGGTTAATTTTTAGCTTTCTATTAGTTTTAGATTTTTGCAAGTTAAAGTAAAAGAAAGAGTAGTACATAAGAAAACTGATCACATTTAGTTTAGCATATACTTAGCATTTATCTCAAGACTTTTCTTTCACTAGTGTTTTAGAGTTGATTCTTATATATAAAATAATCTTTCATCATTCAGCAATTTCAAATGCAACATAATACACTTAATGATAAAATACTCTGAAACACAGTCAAAGCAGAGACAAAAAATCAGGCCACTGTTACATTTTGCATATCTAATATATTTTAAGGTATTTTTCAGAAGTACCCAACCTTTTTGGCACCATGAACCTATTTCATGGAAGAAGGACATGGGGCCGGCAGGGACCTGGAGCTCAGGTGAGCCTCATTCCCCCACTGTGGATGGGTTTCTGGAGGTAGGACAGGAGGCAGAGCTCAGGTGAGCTTTGCTTGTTGCCGGGCTCATAACAGGTGGGACAGGACTGGTCCACCACCCAGCCCCAGGGGGTGGGTACTGCTGCTTCAGATAATTTACTTAACCTACATTGAATTACGTTTATTTTACACAGGTAATTTTTTGCATATCTTTTACATGAGATACCATGAGACCTGAATTTGTTAGCAATCTTGATTATTCAATTTTTGTTGCTGATCTTTGTCACACACTGCTGCAAATTTTCTGTGGCCCTTTGTTCTGTGGTGCTATTTTCTTATCCTTATCCAAACAAATGATGAAGGAAGAATATGATTTTTTACCACAATTTAAAATGTAGGAAACTTAGGTAAAAAGAAGTTAAGTACCTTTCCTTGGGTGCCACAATGAATTAACTATGCAGTTGAAACTAGAACTGAAGTCCAATGAACATTGCAATAAACCACATCAAAATAATTGCCTCATCTATACTCAGGTAAATTAAATTCTTTCTTATGAAAACTTCTACAGTTTAAACACATTGGGCTACATTAAAATAAACACTTTCAAACAAAAATACTATAATTATTTATTAAAATATTAGAAGTGGGTATCTCTAGTTCCAGAAAAAATTAAGAGTATTTTATATATTATAAGTGCTCTGCAAAAATAGACATTTATAAAATAAACTTGATCATGAGTCTGTGAAAAGTGCATAGGAAGCACCATACTCAAAGGCTAGGCACCCAGAACAAAAAGGAGAACACATGTGATAAGTTTTTATTTTTCATTAAGTGAACATTTCCACAATTATCCACAGGGACACAGTTTTTCTGGAACTAACCCTAAACAGAAATTTATAATGAGTCATAAGCGCAGCCAAAATCACTGCAGTTTTTATTACCTGATCCCATATTTGGGGGAGACTGGGGAGAGATTGGTATGGCATATTTGGCAAGACATTTTTAAAATCTTTCTAAAGCCTGGATTAGTGGAAAAGGGGAAAAGGGAGAAGACAAAAGATGCTGTGACTCATGTGCAGCAGCGAGTCACATATTCAACTTCCCAAACATCAATAAAGCAAAGTTTTCTGTCAGTCTAGACAAGCGCTCACCTAAAGCTTGGAAATATCTGCATCTTCTTCACAGCCCAAAGTCTATTTTCACATTGCAAATGAATCCCCTATGGCCTCACTGGATTGCTCTCTGTGTATTTCTGTGTGGTAGAGGTAGGAGGACACAGGTGAATCTTTAAAGCAGGCAATGGGGAGGCAGAGGTCTGGCCCGCCTTGCAGGGCACTGGCTCAATGGATCATGGGATGGGGCAAATTGCAGTTCTGCGGCCTGTGGCTCTGACACATACTAACCAGCAGTGCCTCTGAGGTAATGGCCTTGAAGCCTTAAAAGAACAAACGTGAAGTAAAGAGACAAAGCAAAATACTGTGCCTTGCTGTAGACATACCCAGGAATATGCATTTAAATATTTCTATTTATTTTCTTTTGTTCCTCATGCATGACAATGTGAAGAAAGTCATAAATTTGAATTGTGACCTTTCTCTTTTGTGTACTGGTAAATCTTTTCTGTATACAACAGAGGGCCTCTGCCTGGTTTTGTAAGTTAGGTTTATTCAAAACCAGCCATGCCCATTTGTTTACATAGTGCTTATAGCTGCTTTCCTGCTACGACCACCAAGCTGAGTAGTTGAGACAGAGACTAATTAAAAAACAGGAAAAATACATTAGGTCATGGCTAGTGTGAGGCCCTTTATGATTCGGAGGAAAAAGATCTTCAGAATTAAAAAAAAGAAGAAAAGAAAGAAAATTTGAGAATGAAGAGATGGACTTCAAAATAGGCTATTTCTCTCTGTCAGCTATCAAACTGATTTCTGTTGCCTTTTGCATTAGTCCACAAGAAGTGGGCATTTTCAGCCACAGTGATTTTTTCTCTTATTATCTACTTCTCATTAAAAAAATGGACATTCATTTTCTTGGTTGATTCCCAAACCTCAGCTATTTTGCTTTTCTCTTAAAATTAATTTTTAAACAAGGACTGTCACATTAGGTCTTGGTTTGGCCAACATGTGATATAATTCAGCTGGGTTAAACATTCATTACCACATAGATGATTTGCTCAGTTTCCGCAGGTGGGCGGGCAGGGTGAACCGTCCACTGAGCTTGTTTCCTAACTCTCACCCAGCATAGGAAACTGGAAAACAGAAACAATCTCGGGTACTCAAAAACCAAAGTTTTGCGGGTGTTTGCTGTTATTTTGTTTTGTTTTATGATTAACTAAAAGAGATTTTGAATAGCATTCATAGCATTTATAATTCACTGGTTGCTTTCATCTACACTGTAGGATGTTGAATTATCTAAATTCTCAGAAGAGACAGAAGAAGGAATATAGCCGCAAGTGTATCTAAAGAGAAGATCAAAGGAGAAAGATGGGTTGAGTTGCTAAACTTGAGCCACAACTCAACTCTAATCAACTTGAGGTACCCACACAACCTAAATATGAAGAGATTGAAACTCAGAGATGTTAAATGACTTCAACAGAGTTCATAATTATTTCATAATGCAGCTAATTCATTGCTCCCAATTAGTTAATCTCTTTGGTATGCCCATACCTGGGTCATGATCGTACAGCGAATTAACCTCTAATTAAAGTCGTCCCTATTAACTTTAACAAAATATTAGCTATAGCTTTTCTTTTTCAGTGGGTTATTAATGTAATGAAATGCTCAAACTTAATGTAAGCATCAGAGTGTGGGTAATAAGATAAGCACATTAGCAGGTGACAGGTAAGGTGGGGAGGGTACAGTGTGGAGGGATTGAGCGAAAAAGGACAAAGGACTCATGGACATGGACAACAGTGTGGTGATTGCAGAGGGGAAGGGAACATAAGGTGACTAAATGGTAATGAAAAAATACAATAAAAATTATTTTTAAAATATAGCAATTTTGCTTCCTTTGAAATATAGTGCTTTCTGTAGCTTCACTTTTATATGGAGTATGTGGCAGTGAACCTGTCTTTGCTCCTGGTGATAAGAAATGTCTGTGGATTGTGTGATTTGATGAATGTCTTAATACTACTCAGAAAATTCAAATGATATAACTAGGTTTCTCTCCTGTATTTTATACCTTTGCAATCTTACTTGTGAATCCTTGTGTTTTATTACTCAATTTGTGTAGCATCTCTAGGGATAACATCAGGAGAGCTCAGATTCTCTGAGTTAACTCTGCTGTGATACAAATGCTAATACTGAATATGTCAAAATAATGACATTCTAACAAATTAAAAAGCATATCACATTTTAATGATATTATTCTAAAAAAATAGTTCAAATATAATTTATATGCTTGGTGTAGTGAGTTTTTCTTTCAGCAACATACTTAATTTTGTTTTAAGACTACAGAGATATTTCCAAATCTTAGGTTAACGTTTTGTTTTTGCTGTCGCCCAGCCTTTGAATCATTTTAAAGGGCTTTTCCAGGGGCCTCTGTGGGTTTGTTGAGTGCCTGCCAGGAAAGTTGAGCCAGCACGACCTAGACTGCCTGAGCCTGTTTGCTCCAATCCTGGAAACAGTAGGATGTTAGAATTTCAGGGCAGCTGGGAACTCACTAGGCCCTCAGCTCTGGCCTAGATCAGTGGGAAGGAAGGTGGTAGCAAAAACCGTCTTAAAGTATTTGGTCTGTGACTGATTTGATCTTTGGGCTAACCTCAATCTGTTGCTGCCTGTGGCTGGGTTTTGAGGGCGCATTAAGTTGCACCTGGCTCCAAGGGAATCACTGTGAATGAAAAGCAAGGCCTCTCCTCCAGAAGAGCAGCGCGCCACGTGCTTGTCGTTTTCCATCTTCATAATCAAAATGTGGTGGAGGCCACCAAAAGCGTTCTACCTGCACCTCTGGTGGCTAAACGCGTATCATTTTACTATTTTATAATGAAAGTAGTTCATCATCAGTGAGGGGTGTTCTCATTAACCATGAATACGGATTAACTACTAAGTGTCTGAATCATAAATTATCAGTTTTCAAAGGGAAAGAAAAATATATGGCTTTCCTTATTTCTTAATCATTAAGAAGAAACATTAGAATGTATAGGTAATCTTTAAGAAGACCAGTCTTCATTTCCATAAAGGTGATGATACTAGCTTATTCAGAGTGCTGCTTTCACAGAATGTAAGAGAAGATGATTAGTTCTGGAATATTATATTTTTAAACTTTTAATGTTTCACTTGGTTCTAAACAAGAAATTCTGAGAAATTAAAGATTGGTAAATTCAATTATTTGTTTAATTTTTTCCAAATTTATAGGCATAAATCTATGTTTGACTTTTTCATTACTTATTCTGGATAACAAAACACAAGAAAAAATGTTCCTAATATGTGATTACTTTATCCGAAGTTCCCCTCTCAGCATGACACAGTGTGTGCACGCACATACACACACATACACATGCACTTGTATTCTCACATAGAGCCTTAGTACTTATTGTCACCCATAATATTTCTCTCCCTGAAATTGTAAATATAAAAGATAAAAAATATCTGAAAAAATTGAGGCATAACAAAATTTAAACTGTTGAAATATTAAACCATTAAAATGTTTTCTCTGGTCTAAAATTAAGTCACGAGTTTTGTAATGAATGGATCCCTTTGGTCATATTTTTCTCTTCCTTAAGAAATATGCTAGCAGTGCCCCATATGAGCATCGTTAAATAAGTAGTCTTGATCTAGTGATGATTTATTTATCCAGAAAAGAAATGTATGCAAATTTCTGATCAAGATTCTCTCAAGCCCAGGAAATTCATCTAAGTTTCTCCAAACTCAATATGTAAAGACAATTTTTCTTACCTGCCATCACTCCATAGGTTGATGGTTGGTTTCCATAATGACAGGAAGGAACAGAATAATGAAGTCCGGTTGCTGTATTTCCCAACATTGTCAAGAAATATGTACGCAAACATGTAGAAGTTTGGATCAAAGACAAAACAGACGGGACTGGTAAGAAAATGTATGAGGATTGAAGACACTTTCATTTCATTTCAAAAATACACATTTATATGATTCTTAAATTTACATGCAATTGTTCTCATTTGGGGAAAGTTCTCTGAGTAAGTTAAAACTAGTGGTTAAGTTTATCTCCACTAATGAGACTGGAAATCATTGAAGTGGAGCAGAGCCTTCATTGATAGTCTTATACACTGTGAGGGGATGACTGGCCAGTTTGAACCTTGGCTAATTGAGAACTGCAGAATTCTTGTAGGTTCCACTCAATATAATCATTGCGACAAACTGACTAGAGGAATAGTCTCTTAAAATCCTTATATAACATGATATTATAAAGTGGTCTTTCTCTGGAAGAATGAATACACAAATTGACTCTTGGACATTCTTTACTTTGCTTATTCTCCTAACAAATTTCTTCCATCAAAGAGGAAATGGTAGAGCAACTAGGTTCCTCATAAAAATCCTGCTAAATTTAGAGGTTTGTGAAAATGCTTCGACAATATATGATGTATTTATGTTGATGATGAAACCTTGAGGTGGTAAGTTTCTGCATGCACACAATCCATTTAACAATTCTAATGATAAAGCAGGTCAAAGAGTAAGTTGATTGCGGAGTGGCAATGTCTATAAAGGTTGAGGATAGTGTACAAACACAAGCTTGTTCATAGTTAACATGCCTTATGAGATCAATGTGTATTTTAAAAGCTAATTTAAATTACTAAGATTTTTAAAATCAGGCTTTAAACATGAATCACCAAGATGACTAAAAGCATGGACTATTGACAATAAAATCTCTAGCCAATGTTTCCTCACTTATTTAATTTTCTTATTCTCATTCATATCCTGAATATAGTGTTGGCTTTTCATAAATATAATATAATTATATCCTCTTGAACAAACTCAAGAGATATTAAAAAGTAGAGAATTTGAATCCTTTGAAAATGTTGAGAGATATGATAGTGATTAAAACCATGAGGTCTCTTCAGAAAGTAAAACATATTTTCTCTAACTAGAGAACAATGTTTAATATTTTAAAATATCTGTATAAATTTTCATTTTATGACTGACATGTAGAAAGAACTAAAGTAATTTTGCATTATCATTACACATAAAAACCTTGTTATGCATTTCAAAATTAAACAAGTAAATGAAAAACATTAAATACTCAATTCTTCTTATTACACCCATTATTTCTAGTTCCTTATTTGGACAAATGACTATGATTTGATGAAAAAATATAAATACAATGATATTATCATTTAAAATATTTTTAAGTCATTTTTACTCATATTTTTTTAAAATTTACAAAGTCGAAACATATTTTGTTTCTATGATTTTGAGAAGATGGATAAAGGATAGGCTAACTTACTAAATATATTATTTATTTATTTAAAAATGCATTTTAAAAATAAGTAAATGGGGTTTTGAGCCTAAAGTAGTTAAATCATTACTTCAATTCTAAATGTTTTCATTCTGAATATTCACACACAATAAATTAAACAAACAATGCGTTATTCTCCTCAGCTCTTATTTATAGAAAGCTTTATTATTAAAAATATACAATTAGCTATGTGATAGTTTAAATTTTTATAGCACATATTTTTGGTAAGATATTTTATATATTTTTAAATGTTTGCATGTACTTTCAATATTACCTTTTAAATTAAGTTAAAAGACTCTTAGGCAAGTGAAAAAAATCTCAACATTAATGACTTTACCAAAATCTAGCTATATAATCTATATTCTTTAAAATCCAGCTAAAGATTAATGCTGAATTTATACATATATTTGTAAACTGCCTAATTATAATAAAAGATAAAGCCTAAATAATTTAAATCATAATATGAATTTATCAACTAGAATTTTGACTTCTAAATGTATAAAACTTATCTCCTATTTCAATTGCTTTCAAAACAAGTGGAAAATAAATATAGTATATTGTTATTTAATAGAAGAAATTCATTCAACTCAATTTAGTCTTTTTATAATTCTACTTTAAAACATTTTATTTGTTACTGCATAGTTAAAGAATGAATTATGCTTTTGCAAAACATGTTACAAAATTGTGTTTAAGTCAATATATTTGAATTCTCAAGTATAATTTTTATTTAGGAAAGTTATATAAAAAAAATTAAAACTTGGTTAGAGGTTGAAGTCTTTTCAGAATGCAAACTTGAGAAAATTTAACGCAGTTCCTTAGCTCTAAATGTTATATATTGCTTCTACTTTTCATTTTTGAGTTTTGAATTATGCTAAAAAGGTAAGTTTATTAAACTTATTTAATTAGTTTATTTCTTGACATGCATTGTTGTTATTGGGAGTCAGTTAGTTGTGTTTACTATGAGGTATTTTGGCTGATTTTAAAATTGTAGTAAATGTCATCTAAAAACCAAATAAATTTGTAAGCTAAAGAATTTACACCTTTAAAACACTAAATTATTTTAGATTATTTCTTTAGTTTTGCTCTTTACCCATAAACTTTTCATTAAAATAATTTTTGGATTAAAATTGGCCCAATTCACTGTTTAATTGTGTAAAAAACACATCTTTATAATTAAACTAGAAATAATTTAAATTGCTACATGTATTAATATTTCTTGAAAAGTTTCTTAGACATTTTGAATTCTTCAATATCCTTTATATTTAACTTAAAATATATTAAACTGAAGGGGGAAATAAAAGAAACAAAGAGATTCTGAACTAACAAGATTCAAATAATCTACTCCGAAATCCTTAGGCCCAGCCACCTGTAGACTGTTATCAGAGTCCGTACCTGTGGACATCACATTGGTAGCATGGTTGGAGACCGGTAGGCACTCGGCGGCAGCGCTGTGATGCATTATCAGTGGCAGAGTTGCAGAAGACTCGGAATTCAGAGGTATAAAGGTATCAGCCGAAGTAAAAGGTTGGCAACTCATTCCCACAAAGGAGTAGAAAAAGGAAGAGAACTGTTGCTCCCAAAATCAGAGTTTTATTATATTACTGTCTCAAAGGGCTGTTTCAAATCTCGCTACCTGCATATATACATCAGGAAGGCTCTGATGCCCCAAGAGGGCGCGTGCTGGCATTTATACTGCAGGGAAATCCCTTTATACATGTTAATCATCTTTTCCCAGGGGTATTGCTTTATCAGTCTGAACTGCCTTCCTTCTAACTCAAACATAATCCACGCGGGAGATGAAAGCTGGTTATGGGGTATAGATTGAAAGGAAGGGAGAAATCTGAAACTTTTTTTCACAACTTTAGTAATTCAGACCTTTTAGAAAGAAATCAAAAACTTAAAAAAAGTGTCCCTCAAAGAAATAATGCTCCAATAAATTGAAAAATAAGGGTCTTTCATCACTAAAAAATGACAAATTTATATATATGAGATTTTTTCTTTTTTGATAACTTTCCATTAAACTTGCAGAATGACAAGAGAATATGCTACATAATTTTGAGAAATTATGAATATTTAAGTATTTAAATATAAATTGAAAGTATAGAAGACTAAATAAATATAAGAATGAATATATAACTACTAATTCATGCAGGTATATACATTTTTGAAAAACAATGAAAACCAATTTAATTTTTATAGTATTATAAATGAAAAAACATTGAGTAAAATTATAGTAATCTGTAGAGAAGATGAACATGAGTGATAGTATCTCTCCCTCGATTTCAACTTACTCATTCAAAAATGAATATATAGTAGGCTCTTACTGTATGCTGGTGAGATCTAGGCACTTTCCCCAGTTATGCCACGCAAATCTCACAACAACTGCCTGAGTCATACACCATACCATCCTCTCTATACCGGACCATGCCTGAGCCTTTGCACTTAATCATTCTGCTCCTGAGCTGGTAGTAACCATGGTAGCACTGGGTGCAACTTCATATACAGAATAGATTCACAATATATGAGAATGGAAAAAAAAACAATACACTACAGACAATTGATTTGAAGATAAATATCAGCATCAAGATTTTGCAATGATCATGGTTTCATTATATAAGTGAATAAATGTGACACTTTTAAAAAATGTACACTAGGAGTAAGATAGCAAACAGAAGTAAACTGACAAGCATTGATGGATATTGCTGACCTAAGCAAGGGCCATGCTTCATTAGAATTTTTTAAACATTAATATTTTGGAATGTTTCAAGGTAACTTGGTTGTTTTGTGCTAATTTAATGTTAATATTGAGAAGAATGTAGTTTCATAAAACTTAAATGTTTTCTTAATAACCCCATTGGTATTTTACAAAAAAATACAAGTGCCCCAATCATTAGCTATTGCTTCAAAAATAGTTATTTTTAAAATGACACATTTTTCCATATTTTCAAGCTTTACTAGTCTTCTCTAATGAGAGAAGATTATAGGTAATCAAAAATAATGATCTTGCCCTGGCTGGCGTAGCTCAGTGGATTGAGCGTGGGCTCAAACCAAAGTGTTGCAGGTTTGATTCCCAGTCAGGGTACATGCCTGGGTTGCAGGCCGTGACTCCCAGCAACCGCACATTGATGTTTCTCTCTCTCTCTCTTTCTTCCTCCCTTCCCTCTCTAAAAATAATAAATAAAATCTTAAAAAAAATAAATAATGATCTTACTCTTGCAGAATTCTTACAACTTTTCAGAACTTTGCATATTCAAAAAGTACTTTTCCAGTGTGTTTTAAAAAAGAATTTGCTAACAAAACTAAATAGAAATAAGTTTATTGGGCATTGCATATCTTAAAAATTAAGTAAATGATATACAGAAAGAATAGCACCTGAAAATTGCCCCTAATAATTTTGGTATTATTATTTAGAGCCATTGGAATATATTGGTGAAATATATCAGCCAAATGATAGATAATGAAGAGTATCATAAAATCTGCCTGGAATTACTATGCTACCTAAAATTCTAAAATTGCAATCATAGACATTATTTTCTTAATAATGTTTAAATTTTAACTATTTGTTTTGTGTAATGGAAACAAGAATGTTATAGTTGTAATTGTGGAAAGCCAGAAATAGAAGTCCCCATTATAGTATTCTCAGAACTATAATCTATTCATTTATCAATTTTTAAATCAACTTTTTATAACACAGTTTTAATTTTACATAATATTGAATTGTATAGATCTATTACATTTTAACTATTTCTTTATTGTTGGGTGTTTGCATTTTTTCTTCTTTTCACTTTTATAAATAACAACGTGATTAACTTTTTTAGCCAAACTATTTTCATACAATGTATTTTTACCACATAACTATTTTGAATTGTTTTGAATATCCTCCCTTAGGATATATTGCTAGAGGAAGGATTATTGAATCTGTCTTATAATATTTTTAAAGTTCTTAGAACCATTTCCAAATTTCTTTTCTAATTACAAAAGACATTTTTTAGAGTAGTTCTAGGTTCAAAATAGAATTAAGCAGAAAGTAGAGATAGACCCCATGTGCTCCTTGCTCCCATACCTGCATTGTCCTCCCCATTGTCAGCATTCCCCACCAGAACAGCGCCTTTGTTATAACTGATGACTCTGCACTGACACATCATTGTTGCCCAAAGTCCACAGTTTGCTCTTGTACATTTTATGGGTTTTAACAAATATATAAAGACTGTGTATTGTATAGTCTATGGGTTTTAACAAATCTATAATGGCTGTATCTACCATTGTAATATCCTACAGAATATTTTCACTGTCCTTAAAATTCTGCATTTCATCCATTTGTTTTCTTTTTTCCCTCCTAATCCCTCTGGCACTGATGACCTTTTCACTCTCTCTTGGTTTTTTCAGAATGTTACATACTTAGAAACCTATAGTGTGTAAACTTTTCAGGTTTACTATTTTCACTTTTATCATGCACTTCAATTCAGCTTCCTCGGTATTATTTCATGGCTTGGTAGCTCATTTCTTTGTAGTGCTAACTAATATTCCACTGTCTGGATGTACCGAAGTTTGTTTATTCATCCACCTACCGAAAAACATCTTGTGGCTTTCCTATCTTGGTAATTACGAGTAAGGCTACTATATACATCTGTGTTTGTGTAGGCATAAGTTTTTAAGTTCCTTGGGTAAATATCAAGGTGTGCAATTGCTGAATCATATGGGAAGAGTGTGTTTAGTTTTGTAAGAAGCTGCCAAACTATCTTCCAAAGTGGCTGTACCATTTTGTATCCCCACCAGTAATGAACGAGAGTTCCTATTGCTCCACATCCTCATCAGCATTTAGTGTTGTTAGTATTTTGGGTGTTTGCCATTTTAATAGGTGTGCAATGGTATCTCATTATTGTTTTAATTTGCAAATGATGCCTGGCATCTTTTATATGTTATTTGCCATCTGTATTTTTTCTTTAGTGAAGTGACTATTCAGATTGTCCATTTTTAAGTTATGTTATTAGTTTTCATATCATTGAGTTTTAAGGGTCATTGGTATATTTGGGGTAATAATCCATTATCAGTTATATCCTTTGCAAATATTTTCTCTCAGTCTCACTGCCCTCACAATTGGTTTGTCTTCCAAATTGTTTTTACAAATAATTTATTCTACTGTGATTTGGTTTCAAATACCAGAAACAATTTGAGCAAAAAATAGAACTCATAGAAAAGGCTAAAACATAAGCTAAGACTAAATAGGAAATGGAAAGCCATTTCATCTTTTTGACTTTCCTACTCTTTTTCCCTGTATTCCTCACATTTCATACTGCCAAACTGTCTACAAAACAGCCTGGCTAATTCTCTATCTATACTACCTCATAGATCTCCAGATCATTCCCTAAGCTTTTAGCCAGGCAAGATTACTTGTCTGCTTCGCAATCAACATTTTTGAGAGAGCCGTTCTGATTGGCTATGGCTATTCACTGGCTGTGGCTATGGTGTGTTCCAGCACGGTTCCTGTACCCACACTTATAAATGAATTGGTTTGCATTGGAAGCATCCCAACATTTGTAGATGCTGAGAAATTGTTATCTGAAAAGACATTCTTAAAATGTGATTGATGCTGTTCTACCATTTTACAATAGCACCACAAAAGAAAAATTGACATTTTTTTTTGCATTCTCAATGTCAATAATAAAATCTAATTACTGATGCTTTATGTTTACTAAGACTATAGCATTTCTTAATTTAATGTCCATTTTTGATTGCTAATATGTTATAGTTCATATCTATATTAGCTATTCGTACTCATCATTTTGTTAATTAACAGATGGTATATATTGCTTTTTTATTTAAAAACCTTCAGTTTTATTACCAATTTGTGTTTTAAATGTATTAAGTATATTAATTTTCATTGTTTTTATAATTTTATAATTAAAATTCTCCCAATTTCTTGCTTGTAATTTAAATGTATATGGGACATTGACATACAAGGAGGCACCTCAAACAAAAAAAAAACAGAATTTATTTCTAAAAAATTGTGTGTTTGTTCTTATGTGTTTAAAGTTAGTCACCTTCAACATACTTTCCGTTTCATGCAATACACTGACCGAGATTTTTTTTTCACTGATCATAACAAACAGTTTTTGAACTCTTTGATGTTAGTGCCTTTTAGTGCTTTTGCCATTCTTAGCTTCATCTCTTCCACAGTAGCAAAATGTTTCCCTTTGAGGACATTTTTTATCCACGGAAACAAAGTTGCTTGGGGTGAGATTCAGTGAATAGGGGGGGTGGAGCATGGGAGTCATGCCGTATTTTGGTCAAAAACTGCCAAACATGGAGTACAGTGTGAGCAGGTGTGCTCTTAATTCACCCATTATAAAATGGGCAATTCCCTTGGAAGAGTTTTCAAAACAATGCACTAAAGTTGAACGTAGCCTCTCACAATAACACTACCTGGTACTCTGATACAGATGGGTTCCTAGAACACTCACCTTGCAGGGAAGCCTATACTACAAGGGGCTGACCCTCCAGAATATAATTATGTTATTTTGGGGGGTCCCCCCTTGT